CTTTGTTCAGATCTGTGAAGTCTACACACATCCATTTCCCGTTTTTCTTTTTCACCATGACCACGTTAGCGACCCATTGGGGGTACTTTGACTCCCTGATGGAGCCGTTTGCGAGTAGTTTTTCCACCTCCTGGCGGACGACATCATTTATTGCGGCATTGAATTTTCTTCTAACTTGCCGTACCGGCGTGTAGAGTGGGTCGACGTTCATCTTGTGAGTTGCTATTTCCTTCAGGATGCCTGGCATATCTGCATGGGAGAAGGCAAACAAGCCTGCATTGTTAGTTCAAAATTTATGGAATTTACCTGGTTCTTGAAGTTTATGGCCGATATTGGCTTTTTTATTGTGATCGCTTTTATCCAGCTGAACGGGATTGAGGTCTTCCACAGTTGATCCCATGGCTTCTACGACGTCGGGGTCTTTGATGACATCATTTCGTTCGTCATCAGCTAACCTCGACCTCTCTGATTACTATGCCTCTGTGCTTTTGTTTTTCAATTGTTGGATGTACGTGCAGTCTTGGGCGATGCGGTAGCATTCTCGGGCTGTGGGCTGCTCGCCGCGAATGCTGAACACTCCCCATGGAGTGGGAAGTTTGATGACTTGATCTAGGCTGGACGGGATGGCCCTCATGGCATGTATCCAAGGCCGTCTTATGATGGCATTGTACGCCGTGTCTTGATTCATGATGTGGAACGTTGTTTCCAGGGTGATACCACCGGCCAAAACGGGCAATGTGATTTCTCCAGAGATCCGCTCAACTGCATTGTTAAAACCTGTTAGCGTGATGCAGCGTGGTACTACCTCATCCTCGAGCTTCATTTGTGCGAGGACTCGAGGGTGGATAATACATGTGCCGCTTCCGTCATCTACCATAATCTGTTTTACATTGGTATCTGAAATTCGTAAAGTAATAACAAGAGCATCATAGTGAGGAAAAATCAAATCGTGGGTATCCGACTCATCGAAGATGATACTTTCTTCGAGGTCGTCATACCGTTCATGGGTGATCGACCGCTTTAACTTGTGGGTGGTCGTGAATTTCACGTAGTTGATTGTTGCGTTGTTGCCTTAGCTGATGATCATCTGGATGGTACGGGTTGGGGAGGCCGGTTTTGGGGGACCTTAATGTTGTTCTCGTCCGCGAGCGGCGTTCGCTCTTCCTCGGTCACTCATCAGTTCTCTCAAATGCCCCTGGTTGAGCATGTTTACTACCTCCTATCTCAAGGTGATGCAGTCCTCGGTCTTATGGCCTCGCTTCTGATGGAATTCACAGAGGGCGTTTGACTTTCTGGTGTTTGGGTCGTACTTCATCTTTTGTGGCCATTTCACCTTAGGGCCGAGCTTCTCTAGAGCGTAGACTATCTCTGAAGGAGAAACACAGAAGTTATGAGCAGATAACAGTGGAGGCATACCTCTTTTGTTTCGGTGAGTCCCTGTTTGTGGCATGGGTGAGCCGTCACTGTGGGCGGGGGGGGGGGGGTGCTACAGTGGCCGTTCTAGTGTACGGTTGGTGTCTTTCGCGATTGAGCTGCGGACTTGCATGATCCCTTTTGTTGTCATTTCTACGGTCTTTTCTCGACTCCATCTGGACTGACGTCAACCGCTGGGTTGGCCCGTTAAGGTCATCCTCGTTTGCTCTCACCTCGGCACAATTTCCCAAGTGGTGGGAGGGTACTTCATAAGTCTGTTCAACAGCTTTTTGGTCGCCCTCGACCCGCTCCTGTTCAGCCCGTTTTGGAAAGATGCTATTGCCATCCCCTCTGATACATTTGGAAGGGTCATTCTCACTCTGTTGAACCAGGCGAGGAAGTCCCTGAGTCCTTTGCGAGGTGACTCTCTAATGGCGAATATGTCATTCACCTGGCTTCCGCTTTCTTGGCCCCTGCATGGGCAGTGACGAACTTGTCGGCCATTTCTTCAAATATCTCTATGGATCGTGCGGGCTGTTGCGAGTACCATGTTAATGCTCCCCCGGTTAGGGTTTCACCAAACTTTTTCAGCAATATCGATGGTACCTGCTCTTTAGCGAGGTCGTTGCCTTTCACTGCGGTGACGTAGTGGATGATGTGATCCTCAGGGTTCGTTGTACCATTGTATATCTTCAAGTATGGTGGCATCTCGAATGTTTTGGGTATAGCATGTGGTGCGGCCTCGTCGCTATACGGTTGTTCCACAAACCGGCCGGCGTCCCGCTTTGGTAGGAGTTTTGGGGCGCCCGATATCTTATCTACCCTTTCTTGATGCCTCTCATTTGGTCGCGGAGTTCTTTGTTCTCGTTCTCCATCTCCTCCATTTTTCTTAGGATAGCAGCGTTGGCGTCATTAACTGCATCATTAACAGAGTGAGTGATAGGCGGGGTGTGTTGCTCATTGGTTGTTGTTGCGATGTCGACTCGCACACCCTCTCTGCTCACCCTCTGAGCGGGTTTGTCGAGTATACTGCTCAGTGTATTCGTTAGCCATGCTTCTAGTAGTTTTTTCACTGCTGGTGGTGCTTCTTTTGTCGTGGACGTAGAGGCTCCCTTTCCATGCGAAACGGTAACGCTGCCATGAGGGGGGAGGGGGGGTGAATCACTTCGCCTAGGTGAAGCGCTTGGTGTCACGTTCTCCTCGTCTTCTCCGTGAGTTTCATTGATGGCGCTTAGGAGATTAGTAGTAAGGCCTGCCAGTGCTTTTAATCTTTCTTCTCCATTTCCTGCCAATAAGTAAGAAAATGGACAATGCTTTCTTGGATCGTGTGAGTAGAAAGATAGAATAATCAACAAAATCAATCACCGTTGAAAGGTAAACTTTTGTATTTTCTCTTAAGAGTCAGCTTCTTACAAGATTTCTTCTCATAATGAATCTCACGTGCCTTTTTCCCTTTCTCCCCTCTTCTATTTATATGGGATGTTCTCTAAAAAACCCTAAAAAGTACAACAAAGAGAATATTCAAGGGAATATTCCTGTCGCTAGTTCCGAGACTACACTAGCCGTTGTTCCTACTCTTCGCTACTCGACCTCGGCTTTAACGACTCGCTCAGCAATTGCTTGTTGTTGGGCTTTGATCGACCTCGGCCTGGCCACCCAAATCGAACCACAGTCTTCTCACTTAACGATCTTCCCACGCCTAATTTCCTAAGCCGGATTTTGACCCATACAATACTCCCATTTTTATTTATATGACACAAACTTCTTTTGTTATCCATTCCAAAAAGAATGTCACTTATTATATTTGAAAATAATTTAACTTTAAACTTTTCACTTTTAATGGGAAGCTTTTATATATACACAAATTATATAGCCCCACAAATATTTTATCTTTTATTCTTTAAAATCACAAGTTTTAAAAGTACTCTTTCTTAAATTTTCTACTGTGTTAAAGTGTATCATATAGTAATATGAAACAAAGGGGTAATAAAAACTGCACTTCAAAATGCTGCACCAGACTCTATTAATATATTAAAAATAACAATAACAACAACAACAACAACAACAACAACAACAATCCAGTATAATCCCAGAGGTGAGATCTGGAGAGGATAGTGTGTACGCAGACCTTACCCCTGCCCTGGTGGAGTAGAGTGGCTATTTCCAATAGACCATCGGCTCAAACAGACGAAAAGAGACAATAGATCACTAACAATAATAGAGGCTAGAGAGATAATACCAGCAACCTAAGAACCAGAAAAATAGATGGAAAAAGCAATATCAATAACCAGTAACAACGACAATGTACTAGAAAACGGAGTGGAAAAATAGTATGAACCCAACATGAACCACTAGCACTCTAAGACAAGACACTATTAGACTATCCTTACACGAAGTACGGAGTAAGAAACCTTCAACTACCTCCTAACCTTCAACCTTAATGGCCGGTCCCCACACCTTACTATCAAGGGCAATGTCTTCGGAAAGCTGAAGTCGCGCCATGTCCTGCCCGATCACCTCTCCCCAATACTTCTTAGGTCGTCTTCTACCTCTTCTCATACCCGCTAAAGCTAATCACCCACACCTCCTTAGCGGGGCATCTAGGCTTTTTCTCTAAACGTGCCCGAACCATCTAAGCATTGCTTCCCGCATTTTGTCTTTCAGGAGGGCCATGCCCACCTTCACCCGAATATCTTCATTCCTAATCTTATCCAACCTAGTGTGCCCGTACATCCATCTCAACATCCTCATTTTTGCTACTTTCATCTTTTGGATATGGGAATTCTTGACTTGCCAACACTTTATCCCATACAACATGGCAAGTCTAACCACCGCTCTATAGAACTTACCTTTAAGTTTCGGTGCACATTCTTGTCACAAAAGACGCCAGATGCTAACCTCTATTACATCCACCCCCGCCCCTATACGGTGCGTGATATCCTCGTTAATCTCCCCATGCCCCTGAATACTGACTCATGATGCTTGAAACTTTCTCTCTTGGGATGACTTGTGAGTCAAGCCTCATGTCCATGTCCGCTTCTCCTGTCACGTCGCTGAACTTGTATTCTGTCTTAGTTCTACTTAACTTAAAACCCTTAGACTCAAGGGTTTGTCTCCTAACCTACAACCTTTCGTTAACACCGCCTCACGTCTCATTAATCAGAACTATATCATCAGCGGATAACATACATCATGGCACTTCCCCTTGAATATGGTGTCTCAATGGATCCACCACCGGGGCAAATAATAACGAATCCTTGGTGTAACCCCATAACAATCAAAAAATGTTCTAGGTCTCCTCCCACTGTCCTAACTCGAGTCTTAGCTCCATCATACATGTCCTTAATCACCCTAATGTATGCTACCGGAACACCTTTTACCACAAGTATCTCCAAAGAACCTCCCTAGGAACCCTGTCATACGTTTTCTCTAGGTCAATAAACACCATGTTATATACGTTTTCTCTAGGTCAATAAACACCATGTTAAGGATTAAAATCTGCATTACAATGTACCCAAGAGACTATTCTGAACCTATCCCTAACATTAGGGATAACTTTTGTCAATTTCTCGAATTCGGTAATAACGAAAAGATGGAATTAGTATTGTCATGCCCTGGATAACAAACACGTTGCCGTTACAAAAAGTGTCAGTTCCCACTTCCCACTGTAGTCAGAGAGAGCCGCTGTAGCAAATTATTGGACTTTAAGTACTGAGCTAAAACCCCTTCAAAAACCCACACGATTCCAAAAACGGCTGCATATATAACTGAGAAGACAGCAAATAATTGAGTGAGAAAAAAGAATGGATCCGGGAAGTTCCGGGTACAAGGATTATGTAGCGGGTCTAATGGCCGGTATTGCTATGGTTATTACTGGTCACCCTTTTGATACTGTCAAGGTAAATTCCTCTACAGAAACATCCATTTGCATTACTGAATTGATTTATGCAATTGTAATTTAACCCTTTTCTTTCATTATTATTGTTCATCGTGTAGAATTTTGGACAAATAATGCTCCTGGTTTCTTATGTGTTCTTAGATGAATGGCTAGAACTAGATGCAGCACAATTTTGAGACTTCTGTATTTTTTTTGTTTTTTGCCGTTAGATGTAGTTAACACAATAAACCACATGTTTCCCCGGGATTAGTTAGAGAACTTCTAATACCTTCTTATTAGTATTTGCATAATATTGGTATGAGATGAATTTAAATAGAGTAACATGGTGAGTGAGGATTCATATAGTCGATTGTATTATGCAGTGAGATGAGTTTAAATAGAGTAACGTCGATTCATATAGTTGATTGTCACAATTGCTTTGTCTTACTTTGCTCATCATCGCTATTGAAAAGTCTTAAGTAAAAGTTTTAGGAAATTGGGTAAACTATTGTCTTTGAAGCACATTATAATGTCACTAGAGGCGGATCTAGGAACTTTAAAGGCTCGAGTTCAAAATTCTACCATTGCACATTTGATTTTGGTTCGAAATCTATTACTTATACTTTAGTGGATTTCTTAACATATATACAGGGTCTGACCCAGAGCTACTAGGTTAGGTTCGAATGAACCTAGTAGTTGTACACTACATCTGCCCCTCCTGAATGTCAGCTTTATGTTTAGGGAAGATCTTAATAGTATCATATACTATATACTTGTGCAGGCGTTAGAGGTTCTTGTAACCAGAGGCGGACCTATGCATGTAGAAGAAGGGTCACCCGACCCCGTTAACTTCGGCAAAAATCTGAATATATAAGTGTACATATGTCGAAAATGGTCATATATTTTGCTTGGAACTCATAAGATTAAAAGTAAGATGAGGCACTGGTTGAGCACTTCGGTCATGTGTCCCCGCCACCTTCAAATCCTGGGTCCGCTCTGCTTGTAACTTTTTCTGGGTCTGCCTATTGAATTAAGTGAAATGTATTTGTCAGGTGAAGCTCCAGAAACACAATACAGAAGCACGGGGAATAAAGTACAATAATGGATTGCATTGTGCTGCTAGAATATTACAAACTGAAGGAGTATGCATCTCAACTTCTTCCTAAATCCAACTTTGAGCTTTACCTGTTCTGTTTATTGGAATGTTGTTTAGTTGGTGGAACGTGTAATCTCTTTACTTAAATGCTTTTCTGATGTTGAAAGATCCTATTATTTTCAATTTATCCGCATTTTTCGATAAGCCTTGTCTTCTGTATACTAAATGTGATAAATTTATACATGCGCTATTTATATTTATGAGCATGTTCATGCGTGTCTGATCTTATTGTGTATTCCGTTGAAGATCTGTCTAAAGTTTCTGGTTACTGAAGTAGAACGTAAACAGATCTGAGGAAACGGAGCTCACTAGAGGCTCTTTTGCATAAATGCCAAGTTGTGCCGCCTTGACCGTTTATCAAGTAAAATTGCCACCAAATCCTGTTTCTTTTTTATACAAGAACCTATTTTCTGTTTCTTCAAATAAATTGAGATAATATCTTTTACCTATAAGCCTTATCTTATATCCTATTTTATTGAGTACACCAGAAAAAGTCGATTTTGTTGTCTATGCTGCAATTATCTTTTTTTTTCTTTTGTTCTTTTTTATTCTTGTGTGGCACAGGATTCAGGGCTCTGAAGGACCTGGGCTGATAAAAAATTTCTGTGGCAGGTTAAGGGGCTCTATCGAGGAGCTACATCTTCGTTCATTGGCATGGCCTTTGAGAGCTCACTTGTATTTGGTATTTACTCCCAAACAAAACTACTGCTGCAGGTTTGTTCAACATTCATCCAGCGATGATTTTGCTGTGTCTTTCAATTCGAAGATTGTCAGTTATATGTTGAAAGCCAACTACTCTTAGAACCGTTAACTTGTATCTTGGAAGTTTGGCGATTTTGTGACAACATCTCAGTAGTTTGTTATTAATGACGAACATTTGGTGTTTACTTTAAAGGGTGGACCAGATGGAGGTAAGCCCCAACCTCGTGCAATAGTTCCTTCAGCTGCCTTTGGAGGAGCTATTATCAGCTTCATTCTATGCCCATCAGAACTGGTGAAGGTAAGTGATGTGAGAGTTAATAACATCCTGCTGTAGAATTACTTGGAAAGTGTCATCCTTGTTATATCCGTGATTTTCAGTGTAGGATGCAAGTTCAAGGTGCTGATTCTGTGGTACCAAGCTCCAGTAGATATAGTGGTCCACTTGAGTGTGCTGTTAAAACTGTAAAAAGTGAAGGGGTGAGAAATTTATTGATCGATGCAAATTTGGCTTCTGGTGTGCGTTTAAGCTGACAAACAACCTCTCCAGATCACAGGCATATTTCGAGGAGGCTTCACGACTTTATTAAGAGAATCTTTGGGAAACGCTGTCTTCTTTACTACATATGAATATGTTCGTTATCACTTGCATCTACGACTGAAAGGTGCTTCCTCTGAGTCAAGCCACTTGGTTGATGTTGGAGTTGGAATAATGAGTGGTGGTCTCGGTGGTATAGCAGTGAGTATTCTTGGTTGGAATTACCACATTCTTTATGACTTCTCCTTGTAACTTTACTTGATTAGTCTACCTCTTGTCCTTGTTATGTTCTGTACTGTTTGTAAACTTTCCATGTGATGCTCTATCCTCAATTAATTTGTGCATCTGCCCTTTCCAGTGTTGGTCAGCAGTTCTGCCGTTGGATGTAGCAAAAACTATAATTCAGACTACCCCAGAGAAAAACCATACGAGAAATCCGTTTCTCATTTTAAAATCGGTAATTACCATATTCTCTTGTATTTTGGAACTTGAAATTTACTACACGAAATGCCTGATTCAGTTTATTATTGTAGATTTATGGGAGATCCGGTCTTAGAGGATGCTATACGGGTCTAGGTCCTACAATTGTGAGAGCTTTTCCTGCTAATGCAGCTGCAATTGTCGCATGGGAGCTGTCTGCCAAATTGTTGGGAATCAAGCGTGATTTGAACTAGTAAGAAATCCTGATTGCTGCCAATACTATTCTGGTTGCCTGCTGGCTTAAAGCTTTAGAGGCTCGTGGCAAGATTACTCCATGATTCTTTTGATGTGCCCTCACCGTCACACTACTAATTTGGCACAAGCACGTTATATTTTAATGAGATAATCCGAGCATCTTTAATAGCTTTGTGGTTCTCTCACGTTCTTTTTTTTTCTTTTATCTAAAGGACCCAAGGTAGTATCGTAGCTTGATTGATGTGGCTGGTTATTGGTCAAAAAGTTAATTGAAGTTGGAGTGTTCTTCTTAAGCTTTATTGCACAACATTATTAGCTTCAATATTGGTGATATATTCTATGATAAACGGTTTTGCATACTCCAATCTGCTTCAGTTCAGTCGAATACTAACTATATGCCTAAATTGAACAGGTCAGTTCTACCTGTTTCTCACACAAAGTTTATAATTTTTGTGATGCTCATTGAGTGCTGTCTTGTTGCTTGAGGTGGGAAACATTTTTAAACTAGACTCAAGCTCTGTGAGAGTGATGATAATTCGAAAAAAATAAAGAAACTTTGTAAGTGTGAGATGGCATGTCAAGAGGGAAGTTTTCAAGCAGCATCCATATGTAAACAGCATAATTATATTTTAAGTCTACGAACTATCGAAGTACTAACAGACAAAGTTAATGACACACACTTTCATACTCCTTTGCTTTCAAGCGAAATGAAATTACTACTCAATGCATACCTTACATGATAATTTTTGTTAAGAAGGAAAGTTGGCTAGTGACAGAAGAGAGCGAGCACGGTAAAACCGTGATTATATTTTTCAGTGGGGGTTTATCTTTCCATTAGTCCGCAAGTAGGCGGTTTCTCTGCCATTGGACTGATGCCCCTTTTAACTTGACCCTTCTCCAGGAGAATCACATGAACTTTTACGACGCCGTTCGTTGTGGCCGGCCAAACGTCTCCTGCAACTCCTTTTTGCTTCATCGAACTCCCCCAACTGATGAAACCTGTGAATTATAAATTAATGATATAAAATAAATGAAATTTCGCAGGAATAGTTCCGAGAGGACACAAGAGAACCAAGATACAACATCCTTGCAACAAAATAGAAAAAGAAAAAAAAACAAAGATCTGGTTGGTTCCTTTTCTAGTCGTTAGGGAAATGACTCTAGAAAGAAAAAGCTTTACCCTTGCTTATTTCTTTGTCTCACTGTTGGTTCTTGCTCAGTTTTTATGTTTCAGTTTTCAGACTATGGTGAGTTTGCAGTACTTAATTTTTACCGGTGCAACTTAAAAGCAGCTGATTAAAAGATCAGTAAAATCCGTGCGGTGCTTTCATCATTGATGAGAGACTACAGATTCTTATAGGAAATGAGTGTATCTTCTTTAGCATGCCCTAATATTAGTTGAATCAAGCGTACCTCCTGCTTTTGGAATAAAAATTTGGTGACAAGAATAAGCCCTGTTTGAGAGTAGAGAAATTATTTGTTCTCCATAGTGGTAATATTTTGTCTGTCTTCATAGGAAATGAAGGTACCTTCTGAGAATACCCCAGTATCAGATGCAATCAGTCTTACCTAGGAGGTTCAGATATTTATCCTGTCAGTATCTTCGGTCCAGATTTCCTGCCTGACGAATAAAGGCAGGGAACGACAACGAATCCCCATTTTGAGACTCGACGAACAGATTGTTCTTCATGCTAGTGTTATTGATTAAGAATGCCCTTACCTTTGAATTTAAAGCAGCACTGAGCACAACAAAATTCATATAGAAGAAATTACCGTTATAATAGTTGTTTGATTTGGCTTTGGCTCCATGCTATGTGAATCTGAAGGCTATCTACTCTGTAGATTCAATGAGCTTTTCATGAAGAATATATTGTTATTTTAACAGCACAAATACACGGATATTAGTGGATTTTCTTTTCACTCAGAACTATGCTTCTTAAATAAAATGATATCCCTGAAGCGTAACATGTGAGGAGGATTATCAGCCTTGCAACTTTGTGCCACTCTGGTTTTGTTCTTGTTGTAGGTAATGATCTTTGATATAGATGCATTAGGGCTTTAGCTAAAGTTATCCTGTTTTGTGGTCATCGGCTAATTGAAATGCTTGTTTGTGTGCCTAGTGGCTGTGTGTGTTCTAAGCTATGCATATAACTGCATTTTAATGTTATCATAAGACAACACAAAGACACATACAAACTAGAAATGCATAGAATTTAACTTTTTTACACTGTCTGTTTAATTTAACCTGTTGTAGCAAATTGCCTACCTTATTTTCCAAGTGTATGGGCAGTTCCTTGTAATTACCTTTTAGGTGATGTCATCGGTGTATAGAAGTTAAACTCAAATGCATATTGAAAGATTTAAAGTTGTGAACCTGCTGCATTGCTGACAGAACCGCTGTCGGAGTCCGCCAATAAGTACTGCCGGAGCCTTTGCATGAAATTCACAGACCTTGTGGCGGCGATGGTATGCCTTGGCATATGCCATATCTGCAGTGCAGTCCTCAATTTGACAGGAAGGCAGCTTTGAACCCTCTCCGCCAGGTACCTTCCTTCCCGAGCGAGTCAAGACCCTCTTCCTTTTGTTGTCCTCTACAACATCTTCGTCTTCCTCGTCATCCTCCTCTTCCGTCATGCTTCTCTTCTCTTCCCATTTGCTAGTTTCCATCTCTTTGAGGAGGAAAAAAAACTAGTTGGGAAAAACTAGAGAGGAGCACAAGAATGTGAGAAGATGAATAAAGTGACGCTTAAATAAAGGTGAAAGAGAAGGGAAAGAATATGTGAGGACCACAAAGTTCCATACCTTTCTGCTTCTATGTGAAGTCTGGTAAGTGGAGAACAGGATTTGGATTAAAGATGAGCTAAAGATAGTACAATTTGATAGGTTTCTCGTACATAATGGGGAAAGTTTATGTTGACAGATGAAGCTACTTTTATTGGCCTCAAACTTACAACAAGGACTTCGACTTTAACGTGACCTAGCATTATTGCATGAGAGAGAAGAACGTGACAATCCATAACATTAACATAGTACAAGGAATATGAAGATCATTTATCATGACTTTTGCTTCTATTTGTTTTTATGTCACCTATTGAATTTACTCCTTGTTACCTCAGTACTTTTTTTATTGAGGGAGATAATTTGTTGGACAGCCAGCAAACCTAGGGGCGCAGGCAGGATTCGAGACAAAGGGATTCAAAAAGCACTCAGTACTAAAAAAAACAGGAATTAGCTACGGATTCGAGACAAAATTCAAAAGCACTCACTACTAAAAAACAGGAATTAAGGACGGATATATTCTATAGCTAAAAAGAAAAAATTCGTCGCTAAACCTATTTAGCGATGGGTTATCAAGAAATATTGTTAGCTACGAGCGAAGTTAAACTAATTCTAATTTTTTCTTTTGTAGTGACTAAATGTCACAGTTAAGAGTGGAACCTATGATCCAAGTATTTTTTGAATCCTTGTTGCTACTATACTATGCAAGTTTTCATTTCGTAATTAAGATTCAACGATCAATATATGTATACATAAAAAAAATTTAACTATAAAATTTTCTAGCAAAGGGAATTCAATTTACCACTCTTGACCAATGTCTCCGCAGCTGCAGAACTCTCATTTGGTATTGTAATTGTTAGATTTGGAATTCAATTGACCACCTTTGGCCAATGCGGCTCCGCTGCTGCAAAAATCTTTTCTGGTATTGTAAACGTTAGATTTTGCTTCAAATGATTAATTGGATTGCCATTTATGTCGAGCAAATTCTTTCTCAACTTATTTTTTGGCAAGAATATGGAGGAAAAGTTCAAGGGATAGTGCTCGTTCATTTATTTTTTCCAGTAGTTCTTCACCCCCTCCCAGTAGTTCTTCACTCGTAGTGTTTGATAGAAAAATTGAACGTGGGGCAAAATAAACTTTTCTCTAACTCTGAAGGGGACTAATAGCTTGTTAGGCCAAGTTTTTTTTTGGGCCAAAAATGCTCTTTTTGGCCGAAAGCACTTTTGGCCAAAAATTGAGGTGTTTGGCCAAGCTTTTGGAAGGAAAAAATGTGCTTTTGAGGAGAACTAGAAGCAGTTTTTGAGAAGCAGAAAAAAGTAGTTTTTCTCCAAAAGCACTTTTCTGAGAAGCACTTTTGAGAAAAATACACTTAGAAGCAGTTTTCAAAAGCTTGGTCAAACACTAATTACTGCTAGAAAGTATTTTTTAAATTAATTAGTCAAACACAAACTGCTTCTCATCAAAAACACTTTTTTTAAAAGTACTTTTGAGAAAAGCACTTCTCAAAATAAGCTGATTTTAGAAGGCTGGCCAAACAGGCTATAAGAGTCGGCACTTGTATCCTTTGTATGTATATTTTCGGGACCTCTCTAGACAAAACTTACCCACATCTAATATTTGCTCCAAGCTGATAAATGCATGATATATTTTTATATGTATTTTTATGACTTGAGCATGCTTAATTTATATGTATCGCTCCTAAAATTAATCACTTAAATTTGATAGATCATTATTGTGATTTGGTGTAATGTTTTTTTCTGCCTACTCCTAGGAGAAAAACCTAATCATTTCCAAGGCATTCAGATAGGCGTTCTAAATTACTTTGTAGAATAAGTGACAGCAAATCAGGCTATTATGTGCATCATTACTCAAATTCGTCTACCTAAAAGCATCATTATTTTGAACAGTTTGAGGGTTCACCGATTCTAATTAATAGACATATATTGCAGGCTTTCCATTCATTAGATAGAGAAGATCATCAAAATTTTGTGATTTTTCGAATTTATTCTAATTCCAAGAACTCATATCGAATCGATATTGAGTAAAGACATGTACCAACAACTGTATTGGCAATCGTTTTCAAGCAAGGACGATTCCTTTGTTTTTTTACCTATGGGAAAAGTAATTACAGCAAAGGCTAGCACGGCCTACTGATTTTATGAACTAGCCTATTTTTTCGGTTGTGGCGTTTGCTTAAAGATTTCTTATTTATTCTTTTTTGTCCTATACTTGGACACTTAGTTTGTACTGCTGCCTCTTATCATATCACATAGGAATATTGTATAGGCAAAATCTGCCCCGAAGAAATTAAGTGTAAAGTGGCGTCACAGAAGGTCGACTAGGAAGCATCAAGGTTCGTGACCGAGGAGTTAATTATGGCCGAGGTCGATTGTTCATGTGCCAATAGCTGTAACGGTCACTATTTGAAATAAGACATTGAAAGGAATATCCCCTGGGATATTCTCTTCATTAGTACTATTATGGTTGTTAGGGATATGTCTTGTATAAATAGAAAAAGGGATAAGGGGATAAGGCATGTGATATTCATTTGATAAGAACACTTTCTGAGAAGAAGATTCTCTCTGTGGCAAAAATACAAATTCTACCTTTTCATCAAGATTCTTGCTCACATTATTCCATACTTTTCCATCAGATCTGAGAATAGTTCAAATATGCTAGGATTTGCCTGTCTTTCATCATTGTCAGAAGGAAGAATCATCCACCTCATTCATTATTGGGTGAATCAATCTCCTTATTTACATAAATATCATTTATTGCTATTTATTGCTTGATATTCCTCCATTATTGCTCACAACTTTTGGAATATTATATGTGCACTATTTCCGGTTCATCATTAACGTTATCCCACATTACTTGTACTGCCAAGTTCTAGATCTAAAGACATTATCACTAACTAGGTTTAGCCCTTCGTTACATAAAACTTAATAGTTTAACCGAAAGTATATATTATTCTTTTTTGGTCAAACAATTTGGCGCTGTCTGTGGGGATTTCCTAGTTAGATTTTTAGTTTCTTCTATATCTACAACTAGCACGGATTGCTAACAAAAAAAAAACAAAGAACGAAATTCCTTTTCCTTGTACACACAGATCTGATATGGTAGGTAACGGAGAAGAAAGAACGAGGGTAATGACCGACCTCACCACCAATCTCTTGAACACCATCAATGAGGTCTCTGAAACAGAAGGCAAGGACATAACGCCTAATGCCTCTCCCAGGCGAGGCGGATCGCCTCTCCCTCATGGCAGTATCGCAACGTCCCGCGGTAAAGAAGCCTCCACATAAGACGCCACCAGCAGTGAAAAAGCTCCTTAAGGCTTGTCTAACTGACACGCTATCCACAAGCCCGCTCAGGATACAGTCATAGAAACGACAAGGACTCGCGTTACACCGACAACGGTCGAGCAACATGGCCATTTCCCTCCAATAACAGGTATTACTCACACTGTTAATAATGCAGATGATGACACCCTCACAGCCATTTTGAAAAAGATGGAGGAAATGGAGAACGAGAACAGAGTGCTTAGGGACCAAATGAGAGAGCACCAAGAAAGGGTCGACAAAATACCAGGTGCCCCAAAACTCTTGCGAAAGAGAGATGCTGGTCGGTTTGTCGAGCAACCATACAATGATGAAGCTGCCCCGCATGCCATACCAAATACTTTCAAAATTCCGCCCTACCTGAAAATATATAATGGCACGACCGATCCCGAAGACCATGTGACTCACTATGTCACCGCTGTAAAAGGCAACGGCCTCGCCAAAGAACAAGTATCCTCTATCTTGTTGAAAAAATTCGGTGAAACCCTCACCGGAGGAGCATTGACTTGGTACTAACAGCTTCCCGCGCGTTCCATCGAAACATTCGAGGAGATGGCCGACAAGTTCGTAACGGGCCGTGCTGGGGCCAAGAAGGCGGAGGCGAGAGTAAATGATATATTCGCTATCAAATAGTCGCCCGGAGAGGGACCGAGGGACTTCCTCGCCCGATTCAACCGAGTAAGAATGACCCTACCGAATGTATCGGAAGGAATGGCCGTCGCAGCTTTCCAGAATGGGCTGACCAAGAATGGTTCAAGGGCGACGAGAAAGTTATTAACTCGACTTATGAAGTATCCCCCAACTACTTGGGATGAAATACACAACGCCTATTATGCCGAGGTTAGAGCAGACGAGGACGACCTTAATGGGCCAACCCACCGATTGACCTCAGTACAAGCCGAGTCCAGAAAAGATCGAAGAAACGATACCAGAAGGGACCTCGTGGCTCCACGACCCAACCGAGAACGGCATCTGCCATATGTCAGAAGCGCCATTTCACCTCCTTCCCGCCACGAAGAAGGCCCACCCAGAAGAAACTCACCGGAACAATAGAGGTATGCCCCCTTTGTTATCCGCTCACAATTTTTGTGTGTCACCTACAGAAATAGTCTACGTATTGGAGAAGCTCGGTCGAAGGTAAAGTGGACACAAAAGATGAGGTCAGATCCAAACACTAGAAAGTCGGACGCACTTGCGAGTTCCACAAAAAATGAGGGCACAAAATCGAGGACTGCATTTCCCTAAGACAGGAGGTCGTAAACATGCTTCGACAAGGACACCTCAAGGAGTTACTGAGCGACCGCGGAAGGACCAGCTTCGCCAGAGGACACAAACTGCATCAGGGACCACCGAAGCCGCCCTCACCAACCCGTACCATATAAATGATCATCGGCGGCGGCGACGATGCTTCTATCAACAACGTAAAATTCACCACAACCCATAATCTCAAACGGTCGATCACCCATGAACGGTATGAAGAACTCGAAGAAAGTATCATCTTCCATAAGTCAGATACCCACGGTTTGGCTTTCCCTCACTACGATGCCCGTGTTATCACTTTACGAATTTTAGATACAGATGTGAGACGCATTATGGGAGACGATGGGAGCGGCGGGTGCATCATCCACCCTCGGGTACTTGCACAAATAGAACTCGAGGATAAGATAGTGTCGCATTGTATCACGCTAACAGGTTTTAACAATGCAGTTGAACGAACATCTGGAGAAATCACACTCCCCGTCTTGGCCGGCGACGTCACTTTGGAAACCACATTCCATATCATGGACCAGGACACGACATACAACTCCATTATAGGACGACCATGTATACACGCCATGAGTGCCATCCCTTCCAGCTTGTACCAAGTCATCAAATTTCCGACCCCATGGGGAATATTCAGCATACGAGGAG